AAGAAAGAAGGAGAGAGTCTGTCATCTCTCCATCTGCATACATGTTTCCACAGACTTCCCCGTGCTGTTCCTAATGCTGCTCTTGTGTGTGATTTCAGGCACGAAGCACTTCCTGCTCATGTGTAACGTGCGGCCGGAGGATTCTGGAGAGATCAAGTTTGTGGCTCGACACGTGGAGTCTGTGGCCTATCTGGACGTGGAAGGTACTTTTCCACCAGAGTGTTTCATTCAAATCAATCAAATCAAACCATCAGTGCCAAGAGGAGACACGGACAGACGGAAAGTATTTGAATATCGTTCAAAGCAATCGCTGCATTCTTTTTAAAATTTTATTGATTCATTTTTTATTTAGAGTTTGTGCCAAGAGAGAAAAAATAATCATACACATACTCACTTACAGTGTGTATACACTGTAAACAACAGAAAAGCACATTTCTCGAAAAGTGTGAGAAGAAGAAAAAACTTAAATGAACCCCTGATCATGACAAAGTTTTAAAAATGATGTGGTTTCTTCTGTATGCTGATCACAGAACTTTACAAATATTTACAAATTTCATACTATGGTTGTACAAAATAATAATAATGAAAAAGAAGGCACAGAAGTTTATCGTTTATAATCATATCAAAATAAGCAAAATGAGAAAAAATAAGATAATTTTCACATTTTTATGCTGTATTTTTTTTTTTTTTTTTGAATTGATTATTTACTTCCTTCCTTCCTTATTTACTGCCTTCCTTCCTACCTCAATCCTTACTTCCTTATTTACTTCTTTCCTTCCTTCCTTCCTTCCTTACTTACTTATTTACTTCCTTTCTTACTTCTTCCTTCCTTTCTTCCTTCCTTCCTTCCTTCCTTCCTTCCTTTCTTCCTTCATACTTCTTACTTCCTTTCTTCTTTCCTTTCTTCCTTCCTTCCTTCCTTCCTTCCTTACTTACTTAAATCATCGTACATCCAAAGACACGCTGCACTGAGCTCAGACACACATCCTCAGTGCGTTGTCCTTGCTTCATTTCTTGTCTTGTTCCAGAGCTGCCGGTGAGCATCGTGAAGCCTCTGCGGGACCAGACGGTGGTGGAGAAAACTCGAGTTCTTCTCGACTGTACCGTGTCTAACCCGCGCTGCTCCTGCCGCTGGTACAGAGGCTGCAGCGTGATCCTCCCCTCTGAACGCTTCGAGATCTGCAGTGAGGGCTGCACCAGGAAACTCATCATACAGCAGGTGGCGCTAGAGGACGACGGCACGTACAGCGTGCAGGTGGGAGAGCACAGCTGCTCTGCTAAACTCACTGTGGAGGGTAAGAGCTCAGGAATCATTTTATTTATTATATTAACAAATGAACGACTGAGAGAAGGACTGGCTTCAACTAAAACACAAATAACTAACACCTTGAACCTTGAAGTGATGCAAATGTCCGGGTTTTCATTACCGTTCATTGGGCCATTAAATGGAGCGTCTCTCGTAGCTCTGTGCATCAGAAGGAGCGAGCAGACACAAACAGTCAGTCAGTCTGCAACATGCCGACGCACAAATGTGCATTTGACAATGACTTGTACAAGAAATTGTCCGTTTTCCGTCCTGGTTGGGACAAATGGGAGACCATGTGCACAGGTTGCGAGGTGAGAGTAGCTCAAAGTCGAGGCCCCGCCCTCCACCCCCGGTAAGGTGTCCGGGTTTTCACAAACGGAAATATGGTCACCCTAATTAAAACTGTGTAATACACTGCTCCTCGTTGTTTAATCCTTTCAAACATACTCATATAAGTAAGTTTGTTTATATATTTTTTGTTATTGTTACCCAACACTCAAAAGACTAAACTACTGCCATAAACCAACCACATTAAACATGACTGATTGATTGTTGAGACAATAATGTTTTATTTTGCAATTTTAACACAGTAAAGAAATTCTGCAGATATTCTCAATGTAAAACTCCAGCATTGTTACAGCTTCATGTGGTTCAAATTTCATTTAGAAATATTAATCAATTAGAAGATTGTCCAGTTTGATTTTCTTAATGGGTGATACTCGAAAGATTGGGCAGTGTTGCGCCGTCATATTGATCCAAATCTACAAAAATGCAATAGTGTGATGTGCAGCTCTCCACAGGAAGGGCAATCCGTGTATCGTTCGTTCATTCATTTTTCAAAATAAAACAAAAAATAAGAAAACAAACAAATGACTATTTTCTCCATTATTTGTCTACAAAACCAAAATGAAAAAAAAAAAAAGGATAATGAATTTGTTTTTTCAGTTTTTGATTTTGTGTATATGAAAAAAACTGATAACATTTCCTGTTTCCATGACTTAAACTGTGATGCCGGATACAGGACTGGTTTAGTCTTCCTGGTTTAGACCTGGTTTAATCCTGGTTTAAACCTGGTTTATTCCTGGTTTAGTCCTGGTTTAGACTTGGTTTAATCCTGGTTTAATCCTGGTTTAGTCCTGGTTTAGACTGGTTCAGGCCGTATGCGGTGCAAAAATCCGGCATTGCAGTTTAAGGTATGGAAACAGGAAATGGCCGTTCTATGTTTTTTTCCATTATTCATTTAGACACAAAATCTAAAACTGAAAAACACTAATCGTTATCTGTTTTTTTTTTTTTCATTTTAGTTTTGGAGATAAATAATGAAGAAAATATTTTTTTTTCTTTCACTTTCTTATTTTTGGTTTTATTTTGAAAAATTGAATGAATGATATTCGGGGCCACAGCCTGCAACACTTTGTCATAACATGACGTGCCCAGCTCCCACTGGACACCACAAAATTCTGTGGATTTGTTTCTTTTATTAAGTCATTTGGGATCAATGGTGAGATTTAAAATGTGCAAATGATAACATGATGATCCTCATGATGTTGGAGATTATAACTCTACAGCAGACACAAGCACAATAGATCTTCCTTCATAAAAGCTGTTCACTGTGTTCCTTTCCTTGTATGTGCAAAGTTCACTTTATCGGCCCCTGTTCCTCAGTACTCAGCTGCTTGTGACCTCTGACCTCTGCCCTCTAGTGTCAGGGTGACTGAGATGGGCTTAGATCAAATAACAGGATGAACAGTATCAGAAAACAGTTTAAAGTCTGTCCTTCTTCCTTGTCTCTCTTCTCTCTCTCGTGTCTCCAGCCCAGTCGGTGTCTCTGGTCCAGGAGCTGTCAGACGTGCAGGTGCGGGCCCCGGACGAGGCGTGTTTCCAGGTGGAGGTGTCAGCTCCGGTACAGAAGGCTCCGGTGTGGACTCTGAACGGAGAGGTTCTCCAGCCCAGCCCCCGGGTCCTCCTGGAGAAGATGGGCACGCTCCACAGACTGACCTTCAGGTTGACCTCGGAGGAGACCAGCGGAGACGTGGAGTTCAGCATCGGCAAGACCAGCAGCAGGGCCAGGCTCACCGTCATCTGTGAGTGTGGATAGTGTGCGCTGACGTCACGCTGGGGTGTTCTGCATATATGTCTATGGTGGAATCTTCAGCAGTTACCATGGTGGCACAATGCACACAACAGGAAACAGCCTCAGGATTAAGATAAAAAATACAAAATGGATTTAAAGAGCACATTTTCAGGAGCCTGTGATCAGTGTGAGAGTTCATGGTCCTGTTTAGTGAAAGCGTTTTCAGGCCGGTTCCGGTTCCTGCACCTAATCTTGAACCAACTCGCATGTTCACGCCGGAAATCAGAGCATTCGGGACCCGAAAAGTAAAACTTGGTTCTCCTAAGCGAACCCTGAAGACAGAGAAGACGTCAGCACGTTCATCTGGGTCACACACGGTAAAATAAACAAACAAAGAGCAATTGAAACTATCACGTATGAAACTAAAAGTTTTAAGTCTACAGAAACGATTATGTTCCGTTCGTTTTGCATGTGTCAGTGTTCTCCTGATAAGATTACATCTTTGTATTCGGTGTCGCTGCCGCCTTCTCCACAGCAGATCCATGTTGTGTCAGAGCTTGGCGCATGTAAATAATGATTTGTATAATTGCAAATCCTCGCTGGGGTTGATGATGTGATCCATGATTGTTATTTTCCTCTCTGTGACATCCGTTTTTGTCTGGCCATGTTTTTATTTGGTGGTAAATCCACTCCCTCTGTCCATGACGCGTTATGGGTTTACGTAAATAGTATGAACGAGGGTCGTTCACCGATGACCACTTTGGTTCCCAGGGGCACTGACGCGGGAACCAGCCCCGGCACCGTTCTGACCGGCCTGAAAACAGCTTTAGAGTTTAATTTTCAACAAAAAAGTGAAAGTGACTGTAAAAGGACAGTTCTTATAAAAACAATATGAAAAAACCAGAACAGAAATATCATTCATTAGTTAGAGTTAGAGTTTGGACACACACTTGTATTCAGTGTGTTTTTCTTTGTTTCCTGATTTCTACATTTGATATACACACAGAACAAATCAGATGTATGAAGCAGGATATATGGAATTATGTAGCACAGAAAAAAAAAAAATCATTTAATATTTATTATATTTTATGTTCACATCCTCAGTCTTTTCCCATACTTTGTGGACAGTGCTGTAAACTCTTGTTCTTCTGACAGTGAGCTTCATGATGAAGTCCCTGAAACAGTTTTCACTTCATAGCTGTCACAAGTACAAAACAGCGACCGAAAGCAAAGGAAAAAAGCTAAAATCTATAATCTAAAACAAGTGTTATCTAAAACAAGAGTTCTTTTGAGTGTATTTTTGTTTACTATATTCCATAGTTTTCATGCCTTCAGTGAGAATCTATAGTGTGAATAATCATGAAAATAAAGAAGAAACATGCACTACTGATCAGAAAAGTTTTAAAACACCACATTTTTTCCAGTTTTTTACTGTTTACTGTTGACCAAAACTTATTTTAAACTTTTGATTCATGAAAGTGTTCACCTTTGGCAGATATAACAGCTGAACACACTCGTGGCTCGTTCTTTTTACAACAGAAATATTATCAAATATTCTTCAGAAAGTTCTTCCCAAGTCTGTTGCAGAAGTTTCCATAAATGTGTGGCTCTTGTAGGTTGCTTCACTCTTCAGTCCAGTTCATTCCAATCCAACTCCATGGGGTTTAAGTCTGGACACTGTGCTGCTGGACAGTTTTGGCAGAGCTTGGACTTGTGTTTTTTATATTTTATTGTTTTTTAACCTCTGTCTGTTCAGTTTTTACCTTTGTACCATTTCAAGCTCTTCATTGGACTTGCACGACTTGAATTAAAATAAATAACTGGAAAAATGAGCATGTTCTAAAACATTTGACCAGTAGTGTACATGAAAAAGTGTGTCCACCCTGGTGACTGGTCGTGTGTGGTTTGTTTTAAACCTGTTCCCTGCAGAGCATCTCACAGCAGTGCTCATAAGATCCACCAGAGGGCAGCAGCAGCTCTCTTATAGTTCCTCTTTAAACCGGGGTGAACTTTTATCAGTCTTTATTCTAGACAACAATGATCAAAATACAACATTGATTTTAAGAACTAGTCATGTTTCATCCATTAGTCAATGCACTCCTAAACAAAAGTAACATGTATTTAGTATATTTTTATTTTTTGAATGGTCAGCCATCCTCCAAATACAACAGTAGAGCTGAAGTCCTTTGCTTGTTTAGTTGATGAAGTCTTCGTCAGTCAAAATATCAATCAAAATGTGTCAGATTATAAGGATTTGTATAACAACAGAAAGGAGTAAGTAAGTAAGGAATAAGTTATCTGAAAAAAAAAAAGGTATTTCTCTGTTAAGTCACATTCAACTCATGATTCACAAGTTGAATCAGTCTTTAAATAAATACATTGTTTCCTAGTAATTTTGCTTCATAAATAGTAGTGTTCACATGAGCTCCCCCTGCAGGTGTGTTCTTGTCAGTGCAGTTTGGGGGAATAGTTTTGAGAGTTTTTCCACACCCCGTGTTTAGTCGACCGGTCAATGGGCAGGACATGTCTTTCTTGGACTACAGTTCTATTTAACAGAAGACTAGTCCAATTTCAGACCGGAGGATTGTTGACTGACATGTCCGTCCTGCTCCTCTTTAAGTCGCTCTGTCACAGTCGTAGTTTCACGGTGAATCTCTGTATCTAAACATCGTATTTCAGTTTCACAACCGTGACACCAACAGGTCCCGAGTGCCCCCTAAATCTGAGCTTTATTTTTACAGCTGACCCCGAGTGACCCCTGTCTGCTCCTCACTTACCCAAGACCTCACAAGATCCAAGACCCAAGACCTGGTCCAAGTCCCAAGACCTAGTCCTGGTCCAGATCTAGACCTTGGTCCAAAGCCAAAGAGTGTAAACCCTCCTGTCAATGTCCACTTAGCACTGACCGCTTCATTACACTGACTGATCCCAACATACACTATTGTCAGTGCTGGAACAAGTACTCAAGTACTCAAGTACTCAAGTACAAGTAATGTATCACATGAAGAATCTACTTAATTAAAAGTATCTGTTTAAAAATGTACTTAAAGAGTAAAAAGTAAAAGTATTTTAAAGTATTTTGAGGTCTACTAAAACTTCAAATGGAGCAATTAAACAGAAAGAATTTAATTGACTTTTCAGCAGGTCTCAGACTATAATAAAAATACTTTTACTTTTCAGTCCTGTTAAAAATGTAGGTGAGTAGAAAGTACAGATACCTGCTCTCAAATGTACTGAAGTCAAAGTAAAAAGTATCAAAAAGTTCAGATATACTTCAGTGAAGTACAGATGCCTTAAAGTTATACTTAAGTACCATATTTTACTACTTTTACTTCACTCCATCTCTGACTACAGTCACTTTACCTTAAGCTTTACTTAAAATGTATATAACAGGTTTCCATTTGTTTTCATTCTGACTTGGTTTGGAGGACTGTCATTATCATAGTTTTACCTCAGCTAAGTGTCAGTTTGTGGAAAAAAGGTGAGAAGAAAAGTACACAAATACAGGAAGTAGCGCTGAGTTGTAAATCAGAATCCCTCTACTCCATCCAGACACAATTTACGCACAAGAAACACATTTCTCAGACACTTTAAACCTTCATTTAACTTAATAAATAAATGTCACACCATTTACTTGTATTAATTTAATCATAACTGTTGTGTCATTTGGTCCTGTCACACCTGCTGGAACATTACAAACTTCACCAAAATGTCCAAATTACAAAATAGTTTTAGTAAAATCTTCAATCTAATGTTAAGTATGTTTTAGAGAAATGTGATCTAACCTGTTATATGCACTTTAACCTAAACCCCAACCCCCTGAGCTTTAAAGGTTCTATATTACACAAAACTGACTCTTGTGGGTAGTTTCCTCCTCACAAACGCACCCCGAGTTGTGTTTTGTTTTATTCACATGTTTGAGTAACTCTTTCTTTTTAGTCTGTCTACATCTCTGAAGCTCAAGTGTGTGGAGCTTTCAAGTGAACAGCTCCTTTTCCATTTAGTTCAGCAGAGATTGCAGGGCTGTGGTACTCCAGCGCTGAAATCATCCAGATGATTCTAGTGAAGGTGTGTGGAGTTCCTGTATTACCACATGACATCAAAACGTGGAAGTGTTCAGTTTGAGAGAAGAACTCGGTCTAATTATAGAACAGTTTAAACCCCACAATGTGACAAATACCCGCCCACACACGAGTCCCAAGTCCAGGTCTAAAACTAGGTCCAAATATAGACCTGGACCAGAATCCAGATCCATAACGAGGACCTCAAGACCTCTAACCCCAAGTCCTGGAAGTAGGTCTAGATTTTGGGGGTGTGGTCACACTTGCACTTATTTGGTCCCAGTTTAGTTCAGATGTAGACTTTGGTTTGGTCCAGTTTTAGTCCCGGTTAGGTCCAGTTTTGGTGTTGTGCCGTGTTACTGCGTTTTAGATCACACCAATGTTACTTCACACAGATGGAGCAGCTCAAATCAGTCTTGTTCTAGTCACTCCTAGAAAAGATCAGGTCCAACAATGAATTTATTTTTTGGAGATTTCATGGTAAAGACAAATCAAATCAATAAAACTGTCTCATCACCGGGAGCCTGACATCATCACAGTCTAGAATCTGAAATCCACTGGTTTGATCAGGTGTGAACACGCCCCAAGTCCTGACTGAGATTCTGCTGTCAACACCTCATCAGCACTGACCCCAAGACCTCCTGTCCCCCGAGTCCCAGATCTCGACCCAGATCTAGGTTCAGGTCTACTAATTCACTTTCTATTGAAAAAACGTGGCCCCTCTCTCTGTACCTGCTGCTGTGAGCCTCGTCATTTTGGTATTTAAATGTTCGTTTCAGAGTCCTGCATGGGTCCATTTTTGGAAACCCACACCCACCAGCACCCGCCCGTTAATTATATCAAAGTTAAATCCCGCCCAGACCCGTTAACGTTCCACCCGTTACCAATAGTCAAGGACTAAACCAGGACTTAACTAGGTCTAAACCAGGACTGGACAGGACTGAATCTACACAGTGTCATTAGTAGATTATAAATATATACACACTGCAAACGCTGAGCCGATCGCCAGGACCAAACCAGGACTGAACCAGGACTAAACCAGGACTGAACCAGTGTCATTACCATAAATATATACACGCCGAAACTGACAAGCTGGTCACCAGGATTACACCAGGATTGGACAAGGTCTAAGATAGACAGATAGTGAACATACAAAAAAGAGAGTCCACACGACCGTATTCAAAAGACTTGTCTTTACTGACGTTTATTCCCACATTTGTCTCTTTATCTTTTTTCTTTTTTCATTTTTTTCGTTGTAAAACTGCAACAAAACACACAAAAAATGTACATGTTACAACAAAATAAAAGCCCCACTTCCCAGCCCAAACACAGGACAGAGCTAGCAACAGAAACTAGCAATAGGCAATACCGTGAATGTTTCAAACTAATGTTACGACTTTCAGATATATATATAGAAATACAAGAAAACAATATTACAACACAAAACAAGCCGAACTTACGGACAAAGATGCCCCAAGGCTGAAAACAGAGACGTATTCAGTCAGACTGCACTGCGAGCCGATCACGCTTGAAAGTGAGCACATGCGGTAGAAAAACAAAACTTAAAACCAAAGGTGTTCACTAGAGGGCGGCAATCAACTTTATCGCAAACAAAGTATTAAATGTGTCAACAGTACAAATATTCTTAATTTACTCTCTCAGTCTGGTCCATCGTTCCAGGAAGTGTCACTTGTTTCCAGGGCAACAGACATCCTGAATGCTCGTCAGGTAGTTTTCTCGTCATTCATTTGGTTCACTTGACCCGCCCGTGTGTAATCACTACCAGCCCGCATACCTGCCCATACATTCCAGGACGTTAAAACCCGCCTGTTTCAGCAACTGCTTGGTATCCGGTGCAGGACTCTGGTTCATTTTAACCCACTCTACATGGTCCTGGTTTTTTTTTATTTCACTATTTTGTCCCTAATCAACATCTGAACATTAATAACAGACCAATCAGGCAGATTCTTTCCCCAATGTCTGTTCTACTAGTGTTAGAAACAGGTTTGATTGACAACCACATTACCTTCAACTCCACACACCTTCACTGGAAACATGTGGTTGATTTCAGATCTGGAATTTTCCAACCTCTGCTGAACTACAGTAAAGGTAAAAGCTGGTAACTTGAAACTATCGCTTCATGACATCAGAAGGTGGAAGGTGGAGCATTCTGAACTCGTGTTAGTTATCTGAGCGTAGCGATCTGTCTACATCTCTGTTAGGTTTATCTAAACATTAAAAACAAGAAGAAAGACAAGAGATTAATTCAGTTTTACTCATGAGGAGAACGGGCAGAGAGTGGGCATCAGACCAACAGTCTCCACACGTTCTGATGACTCAAGGCCGTTCTCCTCTTTTTATTTCATTAGGAGGCCCTAGTTACAGAATGATAATTCTCAAGGGGAAGGGGAAACCAGCAAAGACATAATAAGAAACTGGTGCAGCTAAGCATAGTACAAACACATAAAACATGATTAACAATCAGGAGGTGCCTTAGGTATGGACAGACACCATCATAACTCTTGCATGTGTGACAGTGGGAGTTGGCTTTATGTGAGGAATCATCTCGAGGTTCACTAGAGCGATAGGACACTGCACACAGTTGTCAAACACAGAGAGGTTATTCAACAAGTGACAAGTGATTGGTACATTATAAATCAAAGAATTGTAGTACAGAAATGGTTAACTCATAGGCCTAGAATATCACACAAGTATTTAGCAAATATGGGATAATAAAATTATTCTGACAATCTCCAAATGTGTGAATGAAACAAAACACAACTCCAGGTTTCAGGAGGTAACAGCATTAGAACAGGACTTATAGGTTATAAAGAGCCATTTCTTTTCATAATATAGGATCTTTAAAGGACTGAGGTAAGAGTGACACATGTAGGATTCTGCAAACAAAATGTACTTCTCTCTACTGTGACCTGTGTGTGTCCATAGGGGGCGCCGTCAGCATGGAGCATGTAGAGCAGCACTTTGTTGTGACGTCATTTACGGCGATGTCCCATAAAAGGACACATGAACTCTATTTGATTTCTTTCTTTTACTAAGCAGTTTTAGAACAATATTCTTATTAAGTGGAACTAAACACTAAATCCACTTTTTTTTTGCTACTAAACTGGTGGTTGAAACGGCATTGTCTACAATTCAGTCTTTTTTTTTTTTTTTTTTTTGGAAACCTTTGTGCAAACTCTGTAAACTTTGTGGTAAAAAATGCCTAAATCTGTTTGTGTGCTGCATCCAGTGGCCTCTACATTTTCAAGTACTATGCAACATCACACAGAACTGCCGAGAGTACAGCCAGGTGTTTCTGATACAAACACCTGATTGGGCAATGTTCTCCCCCCCCTCGCTCCCCTTTAATCCTCCAGACCCCCCCCTCCCCCTCACCCCCCCTTTAGTACTCCAGACTCCTCCTCCCCCCTCACTCTCCCCTTTAGTCCTCTAGACCCCTCCTCTCCTCCTACTCACTCTTCCCTTTAGTCCTCCAGACCCTGCCCCTTCTCCTCCCCCGTCACACTCCCCTTTAGTCCTCCAGACCCCTCCTTCTGCATCTCACTCTCCCCTTTAGTCCTACTGAACCCTCCTCCCTCACTTTCCCCTTTAGTCTTCCAGACCCGCCCCTCTTCTCCCCTTTAGTCCTCTAAATCCCTTCTTCCTCCTCACTCTCCCCTTTAGTCCTCCAGACCCTCCCCTCTCTCTCCCCTTGAGTCCTCCAGATCCCGCTCCTCCTCCCCCTCACTCTCCCCTTTAGTCCTCCAGACCCTCCCCTCTCTCTCCCCTTGAGTCCTCCAGAATCCGCTTCTCCTCCCCCTCACTCTCCCCTTTAGTCCTCCAGACCCTCCCCTCCTCTCTCC